CGACTCCAGTCCTTTCTGTAACCAAGCAGGCCATGATGAACGATTGGCCCAGTCGATCTCTTTCCAGATAGCAGGTATGACAACCAGTTGATTCTTTTTCCATCTGCTTTGTTTTTCTATCGATGGTGAGGTAGTCGTTGGAGAAACTAAAGTTTTGCTTGCTGTGAATTGTCTGTTATTGGTCAGGGTATACCACGAAGAAGCAATTAGTAATGTAGAAAGAACGAAGAAGATGATTCTATTGTATTGTATGAAATATTATGGAGAAAATTATGCTGGCAGTACACTCACGATTTTTTGTATTTATTGAACATAGTAGAGATATAAATATTTTCGACTTTTTTTATCATTTTGTTGGATTTAAATGCTTTTCTTAGCTATAGTAAAAGTACAAACCTTCACCTTCAAAATGATTTGAAAACAAAACGAAAAACAGTCGCTTACACACCATGTGACAAAAGCGCTTAAAGAAATTCAACATTTAATCATCGTACGTGTATAGGCAATGAAAGTAACGAAAATGTGAGCCGTTTGTTATGATTTGCAAAAAATTGAGAGGACTAGAAGTGAACCATCTATGTGTAAGCAATAGATTTGTTCCATCGCGTAGTCAATTATGATTCACAATAATATAGAAGTATGAACAACTAGAGCCATGCGATCCTTGAACGATAATTTTATTCTAATTACTTAAAGTTGATTTGTGCCTTAGTTTTCAAGAAATGCTCTACCAAAAACTACTCCGTTCGACTGCATGGTGAACCCTTGCAAGACGGACGATATGTATGACATGGATCAGTATTAGTCTTAGATACCGCTAGTGGCATATTCACAGCTTGAAGTCCGAGTATCACATGCCAAAGATGTTCGAAACTTTCTCTAAAATATGTTATGCCCTCTTGACTTGACGTTGTACAATAGGGTTGAAGGCTAGCACGATACGCTGCTGCCCACTGTTTATATGTATAATGATGAATTCTTTCTTTCGTTACGTAAAACTGGGCACAACATAAAGTTGTAACTGTATTCTCATCTATCGGTTTCTTGTTGTCTGGATTAACTTGCATTGCTCCAACGAAATCAAATAATTCTAATACGCGAACAACACATTCGTACATCGGGCTTATGTGATTCGTAGGATCTCGATTCCATTCTGACCACTTCCTTTGTTTAATCCAGAAAAGGTTAATATTTGCATAGTGAACATCGTCACGAATACATAGAGCTTTTTCGATCGGATATTGTGTATAACGGGTCGGGTTGCCTTGGATGAATAGCATTCGATCGGGTAAATCATGATAATAATCGTAGATGAACTTCAAATACACACCTGCTTCTTCGTGCACGTTCTGACAGTATGGCCAGTTGTATGGAGCAGTAGAATTAGGATCGATTCGTTGATAGAGATGAACACGATAAGATTGCGATGATGAACTGTGAGATTGTTCTAGACCTTGGCGTAGCCAAGCAGGCCAAGATAAATCATTGGCCCAATCAATCTCTTTCCAGATGGCAGGTATGACAACCAGTTGATTCTTTTTCCATTTACCTTGTTTTTTCGACGATGAAGTAAGTGTTCGTAGTGCAAAGATTTCGCGCGATACAAATTGTTCATTGTACGTCAACGTGTATAATAGTAGTGCAATGAAAGTAATAGAAACAACGACGGATATAATTCTATGAAATGATATTTAAAAAGTAGATGATAACTTTGCGACAACACACTTACAGCTTTTTGTGGTCACTAAACAGATCGGATGTGTTAGGACTTTGAACTGATTCAAGCATTTCGTACAGTTCAAGTAATTTTATTCGCTGTAGCAAAATTTCGTACTATATAGAAACTAAACGGACGCAAGCACGTTTTTCTTTTGAAAGTAGAGAATGAAAAAGAAAGCTTACAAGCCACGTGGTAAGAACAACTCAGCACACAATATTTATTTAGCTGTACGCAAAAATCTCAAAGCGAACACGCTCAGATTTGAGGAAAGAAATCAATTGAATTTATTTCGCCCATGACTGCACCGACAACTGAAAACGCAACTGTATTCAGTCCATGTTGGCATTCTACTGACACTAAAATAGAACTCCAATTGTCGGAATAGAGGACATCAATCGTTTGATAATCTTTTCTGTTGATAGTTATGAGGTAGCGAACATCTTTCATAAATGTTTTTGAGCGAACTTGCACTGAGATAATGTACCAACCGGTATTATTGACTTCAATACTAAATGATGGATTTGACGTGGGGGAATCTAGTTGATACCGATGGCGCTGCATTTCACCTGGAGGCAGGGTAATGGATAGATTTGGATTTTGAATTGTGCCTAAAATCGGTGTACCATCTGTTTCGTTCCATTGAAACGGTTGAGTTCTGATCTGTCGCGTCCATCCTGAACCATTGTATGCTGCAGTATGAAAAATAAGCCAATTATTGCTAGTTAAACTTCCATGGCCGGGCCCAAAAAGACCATTTCCACTTTTTAAGATCGGATTGGATCGTTTTATCCAGGATGTTGGATTCATTAGATCAGCATCAGTATGAGCAGTGATTAAGCCCATACAATAATCATTTGTCCAACTACCCGAAGCAGAAAACACCAGATTGATAGTGCGATTATGGATAATGACTTCAGGTCCTTCGTTAACATACGGAGTATGATTGATCTCCCAAGCATACATTGGTCTAGCGATTTCTACACGTCTTGAATCAACTGTATATGGGTTGGACAAGTGAGCGATAAAAAGAATCTATATGGGAAGATAAATCAGTTTAATCGAATGTAAGATAGAATAATGCCATAGTATCTTACTTGCATGCCATCTACATCACCTTCCCATCCTGACCAGATGAAGTAAAGATTATTCGTTAAGGGGTGTTCAAATACTGTCCCATCGATGGCCCACTTATTAGTTGCATCGGTCAACTGTCCTCGAAATTCAAATTCACCTGCAAATGGATCTTCGTTCTCATTCTCCAAAACAAACATTCGATGATGGGCATTATCCCCGTCACAAGTGGTCGCTGCAAAGTAGACATACCATTTCTTCTGAATCAGATGAAGTTCAGGTGCCCAAATCTCACGACATGCTGTTGTGTTATTCGGTATCCAAATGACTTTATTTTCCGCTATGTCAAGTGTACTCAGGTAACGTGATCGCCAGATAATAATATTATTTCCAGTGGACTTTGTAGCATAGTATAAATTATTGATTGGATGTTTAAACACCCATGGATCGGCTCCAGTTTGTGACAGGAAAGGGTAGAACGTATTAACAACACTATAACGGCTGGACAGTTCTGATATGTTTCGTGACCAGTATTGACTGTGAACTGATGTAACGAAATACAACAGTAAAAGCTGAAAGAAAAACATGTGAAGTACTTAGCGTGTCTTTTACGTCTCCATGTATTTATCTTGCACAGAATAACTAAGATAACTATACGGCACGTGGTTTAAATGTCTTTATTGTGTTCGTTCTGTAAGAATCCAAATAATCAAGCAGACAGAAGTCCACTTCGAACACAAGGTGAGCCTTTGCAAGATGGACGGAATGTATGACATGGATCGTTATTCGTTCCGAATTTTGGTACTGTCATCTTCACTGCATGAAGTCCAAGTATCACATGCCAGAGATGCTCGAAGCTTCCACCAAAATATTTTGTATCATCTTTACCTGGTGTTTCGCGATCGGCTGCCGTTGTACAATACGGCTCAAGACTAGCATGGTAAGCTGCTGACCACTGTTTATAAGTATAATGACGAATTCTTTCTTTTGTCACATAAAATTGTGCACAGCATAAAGTCGTGATGACATTTGCATCTAAAAGCGTATCACCACCACTGTTAAGCTGGATACTAGCGTTGAAACCGAAAAAATTTAATACACGAACAGCGCATTTGTACATCAGGCTTATGTTGTCCGCTGGATCTGAGGACCATTCTCTCCAATCCCTCCCGGCAATCCACCGAAAATTAATATTTGCATAATGGACGTCATCACGCACGCAGAGTGCTGTTTCAATCGGATATGGCGAATGACGAATCGGATTACCATGAATAAACAACATTCGATCGGGCAAGTCGTCATAGTAGTCATAGATGAACTTCAGATACACACCTGCTTCTTCGTGCACATTCTCACAATATGGCCAATTGTATGGAGGAGTGGAGCTGGGATCGATTCGTTGATAGAGATGAATACAATATGGCTGTGGTGAAGAACTGTTAGACGGCTCCAGTCCTTTCTGTAACCAAGCAGGCCATGATGAACGATTGGACCAGTCGATCTCTTTCCAGATGGCAGGTATGACAACCAGTTGATTGTTTTTCCATCTGCTTTGTTTTTCTATCGATGATGAGGTGAATAATCGGAAAGAAAGGATTCTGTTCAGTGTGAATCGTCTGTTATTCGTTAGGGTGTACCATGCAGTAGCAATTAGTAATGTAGAAAGAACAACGAAGATGATTCTATTGTAATGTATGAAATATAATGGAGACAAGTATGGTGACAGTACTACACACCATGTGGCACAAGAGCTTCAAGAAATTCAACATTTAATCATCGTACATGTATGGGCAATGAAAGTAACGAAAACGTGAGCCGTTTATTATGATTTGCAAAAAAATTGAGAGGACAAGAAGTGAACCATCCATGTGTAAACAATAGATATGTTCCATCGCGTGGTCAATGGTGATTCACAAATATAGAAGTATGAACAACTAGAGCGATGTTATCCTTGAACGATAATTTTATTCTAATTGCTTATAGTCGATTCATGCCCGAGCGTTCAAGAAATGCTCTACCAAAAACTACTCCTTTCGAGTGCATGGTGAACCCTTGCAAGACGGACGATATGTATGACATGCATCAGTATTAGTCTTAGATACCGCTAGAGGCATATTCACAGCTTGAAGTCCAAGTATCACATGCCAAAGATGTTCGAAACTTTCTCTAAAATATGTTATGCCCTCTTGGTCTGACGTTGTACAAAAGGGTTGAAGGCTAGCACGAAAAGCTGCTGTCCATTGTTTATATGTATAATGACGAATTCTTTCTTTCGTTACGTAAAACTGGGCACAACATAAAGTTGTAACTGTATTCTCATCTACCGGCTTCTTGTTGTCTGGATTGACTTGCATTGCTCCAACGAAACCAAATAATTCTAATACACGAACAGCACATTCGTACATCAAGCTTATATGATTCGTAGGATCTCGATTCCATTCTGACCATTTCCTTTTTTTAATCCAGAAAAGGTTAATATTTGCATAGTGAACATCGTCACGAATACATAGAGTTTTTTCGATCGGATATTGTGAATAACGGGTCGGATTGCCTTGAATGAATAGCATTCGATCGGGTAAATCATGATAATAATCGTAGATGAACTTCAGATACACACCTGCTTCTTCGTGTACGTTCTGACAATATGGCCAGTTGTATGGAGCAGTAGAATTAGGATCGATTCGTTGATAGAGATGAACACGATAAGATTGTGATGATGAACTGTGAGATTGTTCTAGACCTTGGCGTAGCCAAGCCGGCCAAGATAAACTATTGGCCCAATCAATCTCTTTCCAGATAGCAGGTATGACAACCAGTTGATTCTTTTTCCATTTACCTTGTTTTTCCATCGATAAGTTCATCGACGATGGAGTAAGTGTTCGTAGTGCAACGATTTCACGAGATACAAATTGCTTATTATGCGTTAACGTGTATAATAGTAGTGCAATGAAAGTAATTGAAACAACGACGAATATAATTCTATGAAATGATATTTAAAGAGTAGATGATAGCTTGGTGACAGCATACTTACAGCTTTTTGTGGTCGCTGAACAGATCGGATGTGTTAGGACTTTGAACAGATTCAAGCATTTCGTACAGTTCAAGTAATTTTATTCGCTGTAGCAAGATTTCATACTGTAGAAACTAAACTGACACAAACACATTTTTCTTTTGAAAGTAGAGAATAAAGAAGAAAACTTACAAGTCACGTGGTAAAAACAACTCAGCACACAATATTTATTTAGCTGTACGCAAAAATCTCAAAGCGAAGACGCTCACATTTGAGGAAAGAAATCAATTGAATTTATTTCGCCCATGACTGCACCGACAACTGAAAACGCTACTGTATTCAGTCCATGTTGAAATTTTACTGGAACTAAAATAGAACTCCAATTGTCGGAATAGAGGACATCAATCGTTTGATAATCTTTTCTGTTGATAGTTATGAGATAGCGAACATCTTTCATAAATTTTTTTGAGCGAACTTGCACTGAGATAATGTACCAACCGGTATTATTGACTTCAATACTAAATGATGGATTTGACGTGGGTGAATCTAGTTGATACCGTTGACGCTGCATTTCACCTTGAGGCAGGGTAATGGATATATTTGGATTTTGAATTGTGCCTAAAATTGGTGTACCATCTGTTTCGTTCCATTGAAACGGTTGAGTTCTGATCTGTCGCGTCCATCCTGAGCCATTGTATGCTGCAGTGTGAAAAACAAGCCAATTATCGCTAGTTAAACTTCCATGACCTGGCCCAAAAAGACCATTTCCACTTTTTAAGATCGGATTGGATCGTTTTATCCAGGATGTTGGATTCATGAGATCAGCATCAGTATGAGCAGTGATTAAGCCCATACAATAATCATTCGTCCAACTACCCGAAGCAGAAAACACCAGATTAATAGTGCGATTATGGATAATGACTTCAGGTCCTTCGTTAACATACGGCGTATGATTGATCTCCCAAGCATACGTTGGTCTACCGATTTCTACACGTCTTGAGTCAACTGTATACGGGCTGGACAAGTGAGCGATGTAAAGAATCTATATGAGAAGATAAATCGGTTTAATCGAATGAAAGATAGAATAATGCCATTGTATCTTACTTGCATGCCATCCACATCACCTTCCCATCCTGACCAGACGAAGTAAAGATTATTCGTTAGGGGGTGTTCAAATACTGTTCCGTCGATGGCCCACTTATTAGTTGCGTCGGTCAACTGTCCTCGAAATTCAAATTCACCTGCAAATGGATCTTCGTTCTCATTCTCCAAAACAAACATTCGATGATGGGCATTATCCCCGTCACAAGTGGTCGCTGCAAAGTAGACATACCATTTCTTCTGAATCAGATGAAGCTCAGGTGCCCAAATGTCACGACATGCTGTTGTGTTATTTGGTATCCAAATGACTTTATTTTCCGCTATGTCAAGTGTACTCAGGGAACGTGATCGCCAGATAATAACATTATTTCCAGTGGACTTTGTAGCATAGTATAAATTATTGATTGGATGTTTAAACACCCATGGATCGGCTCCAGTTTGTGACAGGAAAGGATAGAACGTATTAACAACACTATAATGGCTGGACAGTTCTGATATGTTTTGTGACCAGTATTTACTGTGAACTGATGTAACGAAATACAACAGTAAAAGCTGAGAGAAAAACATGTGAAGTACTTAGCGTGTCTTTTACATCTCCATGTATTTATCTTGCGCAAAATAACTAAGATAACTACACGGCACGTGGTTTAGATGTCTTTATTTCGTTCGTTGTGTAAGAATCCAAATAATCAAGCAGACAGAAGTTCACTTCGAGCACAAGGTGAACCTTTGCAAGATGGTCGGAATGTGTGACATGGATCGTTATTCGTTCCATATTTTGGTACTGTCATCTTCACTGCATGAAGCCCAAGTATCACATGCCAGAGGTGCTCGAAGCTTCCACCAAAATATTTTGTATCATCTTTACCTGGGGTTTCGCGATCGGCTGGCGTTGTACAATACGGTTCAAGACTAGCATGGTAAGCTGCTGACCATTGTTTATATGTATAATGACGAATTCTTTCTTTTGTCACATAAAATTGTGCACAGCATAAAGTCGTGATGACATTTGCATCTAAAAGCGTATCATTATCACTATTAAGCTGAATACTAGCGTTGAAACCGAAAAAATTTAATACACGAAGAGCGCATTTGTACATCAGGCTTATCTTGTCCGCTGGATCTGAGGGCCATACTTTCCAATCTCTCCCGACAATCCACTGAAAATTAATATTTGCATAATGAACGTCATCACGAACACAGAGCGCTGTTTCAATCGGATATGGCGAATGACGAATCGGATTACCATGAATAAACAACATTCGATCGGGCAAATCATGATAATAATCGTAGATGAACTTCAGATACACACCTGCTTCTTCGTGTACGTTCTGACAATATGGCCAATTGTATGGAGGAGTGGAGCTGGGATCGATTCGTTGATAGAGATGAATACAATATGGCTGTGGTGAAGAACTGTTAGACGGCTCCAGTCCTTTCTGTAACCAAGCAGGCCATGATGAACGATTGGACCAGTCGATCTCTTTCCAGATGGCAGGTATGACAACCAGTTGATCGTTTTTCCATCTGCTTTGTTTTTCTATCGATGATGAGGTGAATAATCGAAAAGCAAGGATTCTGTTCAGTGTGAATCGTCTGTTATTCGTTAGGGTGTACCATGCAGTAGCAATTAGTAATGTAGAAAGAACAACGAAGATGATTCTATTGCAATGTATGAAATATAATGGAGACAATTATGCTGACAGTACACTCACGATTTTTTGTATTCAATAGACATATCAGATCTATCAGCAATTGGAATTCGTTTGAATGCGAGTAGTAGAAGTCAAGCCGATATAAAAAATCTTGTTTTCATTTTGTTAAAAAAAAGGTGTAAGAGTAGGAAGAAAAAAAGAAATCGTCACATGTTGCATGTTTTGATCAACATTTTCTACGAATTCAGCAATCTCACGCATTTTGCTTTCTATCAACCAAATGATTAACTCTGTGAGAAAAAAAATCATCTAACACCAGAGTCTATCTAGACTCGATCATACCATTGAACGCTGAAAATGAACGCGAAAAGTCGTCGTTAGAATTGCGCATTTCTTAATATGAAATATCATTCATCGTACTTTTCAGTATTAAAATATTCAAAATTCTGGTTGATTTTGACACCGCCGACTATGTGAAAAAGAAAAGTATGAATCTTGGTGTGACGCACTTCTTACAGGTAAAAGCAAGCTCTCATACCTCTCAAAATTCCACCGTTGGTGGGAGTTTTATTTTCTGTATGCAGTCATAATGATTCATAAATTGCTCGGCCACTTTATCTTAAAGGTTTATCGTATATATAAATGCGACCCAATAACGAACTTTTTATTTGTCGACAACTATAAATCTGAGGATGACACGAAAAGGTAAGCATTGTAAAAAGTTCTCTGAATTGAAAGTATTATGCTGTTTTAGAGATTGTTACTCTATGCAACCAACACCGTCAATCGGTCAATGCACCGCCTTTGACATATCATTCTAGATTACATCGTGCAGCACAGTGTCATGCGAACTATATGGCCAAAACACAGTACATGTCTCACGATGAGAATATCGCGGGTGTAAAAACAGTTGGAGAACGCGCTCATAAAGCAAATTATAGCTGGACCATAATAGGAGAGAATGTTGCTGCTGGGCAAACATCAGCTTCGAGTGTGATGAATGGCTGGATGAACAGCGAGGGCCACCGAAAGAATATTCTCAATGGCCATTTCCGTAACATAGGATTAGGTTTTTCTAAGGGTGCAAATGGCGTGATCTATTGGTGTATGGTTTTGGGAAGTTGGCCTGGTGCCCAATAGATTATGTTCATGTGAAATTTCTCAAGTGTTTGTGTGTAAATAAAAGAATTAGACTCTTGTTCTTTTTACATCGCTATGATTGACATTAGTTTTCAAAGGAAAAGAAACACTAGTGACCTCTACAAGGTCAGTCTGTTGCAAAGTATACAATGCACTGCGGCCGCGGTACGGTTTTTATTGAACATTTTTCATTTCAATCTCGATAAGATATTATGGGACGCACAAGGCAACAATATATATCTGTCAAGCGAGAATTGCGGTAGCTCACGTATGCACTAAAACAGGTTGGCTAGGATTATATGCTGGATAACCAGGAGGTGGATAATAATAAGGACCAGGTGCCCATGGTTGTTGTGCACCAGTAATGAAAGCTGGTTGCATTCCTATTTGTTGTTGCCGTTGTTGTGTTTGCATAGCCCAGATCTGAGATCTTTTTTTTCTCTTACAAAGAATGATTGTTACAACAATAATACTAATCAATACAGCTGCACCGGCCACACATCCAACTACGATACCAATGATAGCGCTAGTACTTATCGCAGTCCTGTACACACTACCATACCAAGTGCTATCTGAGCCACTTCCTGAACCAGAACAAGTGCTAAAAAGATAAATAAATGTGTCTACAAGCAAGACTCGTTGTACCGTACTTACCCGTAAGTATAATAATACGAAGTGCATGACGCTACGTTAGCAAAGCATGCTGTTGCACATGCGGAACTACTGCATGTGCTTGCATATGTCGTTCCAACATACGTATATGTGTTCGGACAATAGCAGTAGCACAGGTAACTGCCAGACACGTCGACAATGATGGTTAAGCAGATTGTAATTAATAAAGTTATTCGGAACATATTCATAAAAATTTAAAATTTTTCCGACGATAATAGGGCGAACTGTCAACACCGGTCTTTCACTGTTACTAATTTAACAACGACACGTTTGATGTTTTCACACGTTATTCCTTCACCGTATATATTTTTTAGTCAAATATAAGGAAAAGAATAATAGTTTCCGACCAATTCTTATTGACAAAAACCGAGCGCTATTCTCAATTATGTTTTCACTATAATTTCTTTTGCAAAAACTTTTAACTTGAAGTTTTTTTTTTCTCACGTCATTTTTAGCGTTCTTTCGATAGCTGCTTTTATTCAAGAAAATATTTTCTTTTGTGATTTCTAAAACAATCTTTGTTTTAATCAAACTCTTTCCGTTGTTACTTAGGAACTGATTGATGAAACAAGACTTATTTTTGTATTACATTCATCCTTAATGAATTCAAGTATCCAAACTCAAGATCAAGTACTTACTTGGATAAAAATGTTTGTTTACTACCAAAAATCATTGTACACTTTAACATACGTGTGACAGGACCTATGCTTCGTCCTGAAACATCCATTTTCATAGAAAAAGACTTTCGATCTCTTGATGACAAATAATACAGATTTATCCTATTTCTTAGCATCTAGTTTGTTTAATTCCTTGCAATTTCGGAGAATTCATTCATATGCGCACGTTCTTATCCTTATTCACATGGCCATTCTTCATAATGCGCAGTCCAAACAATAAATTAATTCAATTACTGTCGCTTCATAATTGAATCAGAGCCAAAAACGCTCATTTTGCATTAGAATTCTATACGGATAGAAAACGAAGGTATATTAGAACGACTGAAGAATATCAGCCGTTAGGATGTCTGCAGAGAAGACATGAGTGTGATATTTATGTCGTGTTCTCCCTCGTACATACTTTTCTGTTCAAATTCACCCAATCTATTTGATACAGTGAAATACAATTAGACTCCGTACGTTTCTGAGATCATCGTTCGTATAACAGTGATATGATTATAATGTTAAACGGTAGAACGCTCGAAAAATAAAGATGGTTCTGTCTTTTAATTTTATTTTAAAAGGATTCGGAAGTTTTGGAATAAAATGTCAATGTGTATATTTGGATTTTCTATAATTATCTTGTGGATTAAAAAGATGTTGTATTAGCTTGTTGATCTTCAGTTTCGAGATGCATTATTTCAAATTTACTTGTAGCCTCATCCATTTCGTCGGTAGCATCCAGCAGATCAGCATATTCAAATGATTTGTAAGCGTTCGTCTTGGTTTTATTGAGTAGCTGTGACTTTTCCGCTGGTAGCTCCAGTCTAGCACATATTTCACTGCACACATGTGTATTGAAAAATCGATCCATACCCTTCACTCCAAGATTAGTACGTGTATGCTTAAACCGTAATATATCATCACAATGTATTGCCGGATCAGTAAGGATATAAGCGTTGTCTGTTTTGGCACCTTGCAAATCAACAACCATATAACGGCCAGCAGTAATATGATACGTCCAATGACTGAAGGCTTGAAGTACTGTAGAATATTCTGATAACGATACACCGCCGCTATTATTGTTCCATTTATGCCATGTTTGACTTATTCGTCGTCTTTGTGTTGTACAAGATCAGCATCAGCATATACTATGTATATTGGGTTTGCTAGCAGATGGCTTAGAGCAGTGTTAAATTTATCAGCTAAAAACTGAGCAATCACTTGAATTTCGAGTTGTTCTCGATAGACTTCTAAAACGTTCATATTTGGATCATTGCTAGCGAATTCTTTGAAGACGACGTCAACCAAATCAAAATCGTCATTTGATAATTGTCCATAGAAAACAAATCGAAGTGATCCTTGCTATTTTCATGCGACCGCTACCTTGCCCAAAAAATAAAGGGCGAAATATGTCATCCATTGCTTGTGGTTGTATAATTTCAATAGTATGAACTGCATGTACTTCTATTGCATTCCAATCAGGAATTTTCTTAAGCAAAGTGTACGATTTTAATGGCATATTTGATGTTCGAAAACTAGACATCGTCGATTGAATACTGTTCATAATAATAGAACTAGTTTGCATAGAAATATGTTTCATCAAAGTGTTTGGATCGTTCACATGTATTTCGAATACTTCTCCATATATAAAAACAAATTCTTCAAACATTTTCTTTACTGACTTATTTAGCTGTATTGAACAATAGATGATCTTTGAACGTTTAATGTCCAACAATAATTTTGAAACTTCTCGGTTTTTTGGATCACCCTTTGGATACTTGTCGTGTCTCGATTTTGTAAACGTGTGATAATCTCGTCCATGGCACGGTGCATCACATATATGAATCAGTACACGATTTGGATTCGACCAGGATAGCTTTGGCACAATTTCAAGTCCGCCTAATATAGAAAAAACGTCATCGAAGTGTTTTTAAACTAACGAACAACAACGCTGGTTAAATGAAATTTCAAAACATCGGTGTAGCGCAGACTTACCAAAAACATCCTCACATCTGTCGTGACCACTAGTCAGTTTTAATTTCTCCAAAAAGATATAAAATGTATCAACGTCATCCGTAAAATCAAGCTGTTCAGGATCAGTATCAGTATCTCGATAGCCAATAAAAGCCAGACGAGGCTTGATGGCGTATAATTGAATAATAGTATCAGTCAGTTGATGAATTTGTGTTTTTGCTGCAACTATATACTTTTTCATACTACACGTACAATCGACTAAAAAACAAATGTCTGTAGCCGATTGAGCTTTTGATATTTTGAGCACTTCATCAACTTCGTATTTTCGTTGGTTGATTTCACGTTGGAGTTGACTTTTCATCTGTTCTTTCACTACAGCTATGCCGTCATCCGTATTCACTAATGATGTCCAATCTTTGATACGAGCTAATGATTCCATGTTTTCAGTAATCTGGTTGTGTAATAGCTTGTTATTAGGATTTTTACGTAATTCTCTCATATCGTGATTAATCTGAGCACTTAATTGTTTATATTTGTCATCAAGCTGATCGAGGTCAACATAGTCCGAATGGTTTTGATCGAAGCTTGCGAAGGACGTCTTCGAAGACGAATTGATGCGAATGGATCAGTTATCAAGTCCTCGTCAAACTCGGCTAGATACATTTTTGAAGCACTTGAGCACGAAATAAATTACTTATACGCAGGGTATTGTGCAACACTTGGTGAAAGTCTATAATTTTTACGAGTTACATACTCAATAATATTTATTGAATAATGTAGGAAAAAACCATCTATAATGTTTTTACAACTTTATCTTTTTTACTAAGCAAATAAAAATGAGTTTGTTACAGGCATGTACGTATACATGCCTTCACATCCTTCCATTCATCTGCTTCTGTTATCATCATGATACATTCTTTTTCATATCGTTTCGAATAAACAGATTGAGATTCGTCGCTCGAGCGAAGACATCGCTAATAGAGTTACATACTCTTATCAAAAGTAAATCATCCCTTTTATATTTTCATTGCCTTCNCAATAAGGCTGTGGTGTCGAACTGTTAGACGACTCCAGTCCTTTCTGTAACCAAGCAGGCCATGATGAACGATTGGCCCAGTCGATCTCTTTCCAGATAGCAGGTATGACAACCAGTTGATTCTTTTTCCATCTGCTTTGTTTTTCTATCAATGGTGAAGCGAATAATCGGAAGGCAAGGATTCTGTTCAGTGCGAATCGTCTGTTATTCGTTAGAATGTACCATGACACAGCAATGAATAGTGTACAGAGGACAATGAAGATAATTCTATGGAATAGTATGAAAGAGAATGGAGAAAATGATGCTGACAATATACTCACGGTCTTTTGGATTCAGTAGACATATCAGATCTATCAACAATTGGAATTCGTTTCAATGCGAGTAGAAGAAGTCAAGCCGATATAAACAATCTTGTTCTCAATTTGTTACAAAAATGGTGTAAGAGTACGAAGAAAAAATGAAACAAAGAAATCGTCACATGTTGCATGTTTTGATCAACATTTTCTACAATTTCAGCAATCCCACGCGCTTTGCGTTCTATCAACCAAATGACTAACTGTGTGAGAACAAAAAATCATTGAACACCAGAGTACATCTAGAATCGATCATACCGTTGAACGCTAAAAGTCGTCGTTAAAATTGAGCATTTCTTAATATTAAATATCATTCATCGTACTTTTCAGTGTTGAAGTATTCAAAATTCTGGTTGATTCTGACATCGCCCACCAGGTGAAAAAGAAAAACATGAATCACGGTGCGATGCACTTCTTACAGGTAAAAGCAAGCTTTCATAACTATCAAAACTCCATGTTACAGCCCCGTCGAGATGACAGAAAAGATTGATTTAGTTGTTAAGAACGAACTTCGTTTATTTCAAATTTATCCGAACATTTATATACCGAAGACGCAAGGAAAAAAACTAGAAGATATTAGGTTTTTTTCCTTTCACGAACATGTGTTCAATATAGGTCAGAACGACAAGAATAGAAGGAATATTCCATATGTATGAAGAATCGAGGGAAATATCATATGTGCACATATGTGTATAGAAGGAAAGAAAGAAAAAGAAATACTAAGTGGAAAGAACGATGGAAAAATACCATAAGCGAATAGATGTTTTGTTTATTCGCTTACACTCCACTATTGGTGTGAATTTCATGTTCCCTATGCAGTAATAATGACTCATAAAGTGCTCTGTCACTTTATCTTAAAGGTTTGTCGTATAAATACATGCTACTCAATAACGAACTTTTCATTCGTCGACGACTATAAATCTGACGATGACACGAAAAGGTAAGCGTTGCAAATAGCTTTCTGAATTGAAAGTATCATACTGTTTTAGAAATTGTTACTCTATGCAACCAACACCGTCAATCGGTCAATGCACCGCCTTTGACATATCATTCTAGATTACACCGCGCAGCACAGTGTCATGCCAACTATATGGCTAAAACACAGCACATGTCTCACGATGAGAATATCGCGGGTGTAAAAACAGTTGGAGAACGTGCTCATAAAGCAAATTATAGCTGGAACATAATAGGAGAGAATGTTGCTGCTGGGCAAACATCAGCTTCGAGTGTGATGAATGACTGGATGCACAGCGAGGGCCACCGAAAGAATATTCTCAATGGCCGTTTCCGTAATATAGGATTAGGTTTTGCTAAGGATGCAAATGGCGTGATCTATTGGTGTATGGTTTTGGGAAGTTGGCCTGGTGCTTAATAGGCTACGTTCATGTGAAATGTCTCAAGTGTTTGTGTGTAAATAAAAGAATTAGACCCTTGTTCTTTTTACATCACTATGATTAACATACCTTTTGAAAGGAAAAGAAAGGCTAGTGACCTCTACGAGGTCAGACTATTGCAAAGTACACAATGCCCTGTAGTACGGTTTTTATTGAACATTTTTTATTTCAATCTCGATAAGATATTACAAGACGCATAAGGCAACAATATATATGTCAGGCGAGAATTGCGGTAGCTCAAGTATGCACTAAAACAGGTTGGCTAGGATTATATGCTGGATAACCAGGAGGTGGATAATAATAAGGGCCAGGTGCCCATGGTTGTTGTGTACCAGTGATGAAAGCTGGTTGCATTCCTATTTGCTGTTGTTGTTGTTGTTGTTGTTGTGTTTGCATAGCCCAAATCTGAGATCTTTTTTTTCTCTTACAAAGAATGATTGTTACAACAATAATACCAATTAATACAACCGCGCCGGCCACACATCCAACTACGATACCAATTATAGCGCTAGTATTTTTCGCAGTGCTGTACGCACTATCATACCATGTGCTACCCGATCCACTTCCTGAGCCCGAACAAGTGCTGAAAAGATAAGTAAATGTGTCTACAAGCAAAATCCGTTGTACCATACCTACCCGTAAGTATAATAATACGAAGTACATGACGCTACGCTATTAAAGCATGCTGCTGCACATGCGGAACTACTGCATGTGCTTGCATATGTCGTACCAACATACGTATATATGTCCGGACAATAGCAGTAGCACAGGTAACTGCCAGACACGTCGGCAATGATGGCTAACCAGATTGTAATCAATAAAGTTATTCTGAACATATTCATAAAAATTTTAAATTTCTCTGACAATAATGGGTCGAGCTGTCAACACCGTTCTTTCACTGTTACTAATTTAACAACGACACGTGTGATATTTTCACACGTTATTTCTTCACCGTATATATGTTTTAGTCAAATACAAGGAAAAGAATAAGGGAATTTGTTTTTTGGTCAGTATAATAATTGAAATGATCAGTAGCAGAAATAATTCCAAAATGAGTTAAATTATTAAATGAGCAGTAAAAAAATGATTGAGCAGGAAAATTAATAATTGATCAGTAGTTTATTTAAACTATCAGTTATTAATTAGTTAAAGCTGTATATTAATTAAAAGATCAGTATATCTAATTTTTTCACAGTCGAATATATGGAAGTGTCAGTATAAAAACTGAAATAGTATAAAATAAATAATTTCTCTTCTACTTTCTCTCTCTCTTTCATTGTATGTAACATAACCAGGTGACAAATAGAAGAGAAAATTCCAACACACATAAAAGAAAGAGAAAATCCATGATATATACATATGACAGGACAGGGAAAAAAACCATCGTACATATATGTGATCGCGAAAGAAATCGATGACACATGATCAACAATAGGTGACTGATGTGGAGTAATCCTTATGATAGTATCCGAAGGATATGCAGATCATAACAATCTGGTATTTGTTATTGATGACTGTGAAAGATTAAGGGAAAATAACCATCTTAAATCTATCTCTCGATATTTCCTTTGTATTTTGCTATATATAAATACTTCATCGTTTTTTCAAGATCAGCAAAAACTGTTCCAATTGGACAGAAGAGAAAGCGTGGCAGACCAGCCAAAGCTAAAGCTGCGTTATTGATGCAATAATTGTATTAAAAAATTTTGTCAACAGGCTTACCAAACTGTCTATAATATTATTTACTTAAATAAATTCATTATTTCTACTGTTAAAATCGACTTTTTTACTGATAGAAATTCAATATTTTACTGATAACATTTCTATTTTTTACTGACGGGAGATTGAATTTTCTACTGACACTTTCAGCTAATATACTGACCAGTTTAGAATTTATTACTGATAATTTCGATACTGATCATTTCAATAAATCTACCGATCATTTTCATTTTTTCTACTGACAGTTTCAATAATTATACCGACCACTTAAATGATACCCAAAGAATAATAGTTTCCGACCAATTCTTATTGACAAAAAACCGGGCACTGCTCGCAATCATATTTACACTACAATTTCTTTTGGAAAAACTTTTAACTTACAGCTATTTTTGACGTTCTTCCGATAGTTACTTTTATTCAAGAAAATATTTTCTTTTGTGATTTCTAAAACAATCTTTGTTTTAATCACACTCCTTCCGTTATTACTTAGAAAGTGATCGATGAAACAAGAATTATTCTTGTATTGTATCACATCCATCATTAATGAATTCAAGTATGCAAACTCGAGATTGGATACTTGCTTGGATAAAAATGTTTGTTCACTGCCAAAAAACATTGTACAGGTTTACATATGTGTGACAGCGCCTAGGCTCCTTCCTAAAACATTCATTTTCATAGAAAAAGACATCTGATCTCTTGATGACAAATAATACAGATTTGCCCTATTCCTAAGCACCTAGTTCGTTTAATTCCTTGCAGTTTTGGAGAATTCATTCATATGCGCACGTTCTTATCCTTATTCACATGGACATTCTGCATAATGCGCAGCCCAAACAATAATAACTCAATTGAAATACTATCGCTTCATAATTGGATCAGAGCCAAAAACACTCATTTTGCTTTTTTTTGCATTAGAATTCTATACGGATAGAAAAATGAAGCTCTATTAGATTAACTGAAGAATCAGCCGTTAGGGTACCTTCAGCGAAGACATAAGTATGATATTTATGCCGTGTCCTCCTTCGTACATAGTTTTCTGTTCAACTTCAACTAATCTGTTTAATAGGATGAAATACAATTAGACTCCGTGCGTTTCTGAGATCATCGTTCGTATACCAATGATTTAACTTTAATGTCAAATGGTAGAACACTCGAAAAATAAGGACGGTTCTGTCTTTTAATATTATTTTAAAACGATTCGGAAGTTTTGGTAAAAAATGTCAATTTGTATATTTCGGTTTTCTATAATTATTTTGCGAATTAAAAAGATGTTGTATTATCTTGTTGATGTTCAGTTTCGAGGTACATTATTTCAAATTTACTTGTAGCCTCATCCATTTGGTCAACAGTTTCCAGCAGGTCAGCATATCCAAATGATTCGTAAGCGTTCGTCTTGATTTTACTGAGTAGCTGTGACTTTTCCGTTGGTAGCTCCAGTCTAGCACATATTTCACTGCACACATGTGTATTGAAAAATCGATCCATACCCTTCACTCCAAGATTAGTGCGTGTATGCTTAAACCGTAATATATCATCACAATGTATTGCCGGATCAGTAAGGATATAGGCGTTGTCTGTTTTGGCACCTTGCAAATCAACAACCATATAACGGCCAGCAGTAATATGATACGTCCAATGACTGAAGGCTTGAAGTACTGTAGAATATTCTGATAACGATACATCGCCGCTATTATTGTTCCATTTATGCCATGTTTGACTTGTTCGTCGTCTTTTTGTTGTACAAGATCAGCATCAGCATATACTATGTATATTGGCTTTTTCTAGCAGATGGCTTAGATCAGTGTTAAATTTATCAGCTAAAAACTGAGCAATCACTTGAATTTCGAGTTGTTCTCGATAGACCTCTAAAACGTTCATTTTTGGATCACTGCTAGCGAATTCTTTGAAGACGACGTCAACCAAATCAAAATCATCATTTGATAATTGTCCACAGAAAACAAATCGAAGTGATCCTTGCTCAAAAGGATTCCTTGCTATTTTCATGCGAGCGCTACCTTGCCCAAAAAGTAAAGGACGAAATATGTCATCCATTGCTTGTGGTTGTACAATTTCAGTAGTATGAACTGCGTGTACTTCTATTGCATTCCAATCAGGCATTTTCTTAAGCAAAGTGTACGATTTTAATGGCAAATTTGATGTTCGAAAACTAGACATCGTCAATTCAATACTGTTCATAATAATAGAACTAGTTTGCTTAGAAATGTGTTTCATCAAAGTGTTTGGATCGTTCACATGTATTTCGAATATTGTCCCATATATAAAAATAAATTCTTCAAACATTTTCTTTACTGACTTATTTAACTGTATTGAACAATAGATGATCTTTGAGCGTTTAATGTTCAGCAATAATTTTGAAAGTTCTCGGTTTTTTGGATCGCCCTTTGGATACTTGTCGTGTCTCGATTTTGTAAACGTGTGATAATCTTGTCCATGACACGGCGCATCACATATATGAATCAGTACACGATTTGGATTCGACCAGGATAGCTTAGGCACAATTTCAAGCCCGCCTAACGTAGAGAAAACGTCATCGAAGTGTTTTTAAACAAATGAGCAACAACGCTGGTTAAATGAAGTTTCAAAACATCGGTGTAGCACAGACTAACCAAAAATATCCTCACATCTGTCATGACCACTAGTCATCTTTAATTTCTCCAAAAAGATATAAAATGTATCAACGTCATCCGTAAAATCAAGCTGTTCAGGATCTGTATCAGTATCTCGATAGCCAATAAAAGCCAGACGAGGCTTGATGGCGTATAATTGAATAATAGTATCAGTCAGTTGATGAATTTGTGTTTTTGTTGCAACTATATACTTTTTCATACTACACGTACAATCGACTAAAAAACAAATGTCTGTAGCCGATTGAGCTTTTGATATTTTGAGCACTTCATCAATTTCGTATTTTCGTTGGTTGATTTCACGTTGGAGTTGACTTTTCATCTGCTCTTTCACTACAGCTATGCCGTCGTCCGTTTTCAGTAATGTGATTGTGTAATAGCTTGTTATTAGCGTAATTCCATCATATCGTGATTAATCTGAGCACTTAATTGTTTATATTTGTCATCAAGCTGATCGAGGTCAACATGGTCCGAATGGTTTAGGTTACTATGCTTAGAACTAATGGTTTTGATCGAAGCTTGCGAAGGACGTCTTCGAAGACGAATCGATGCAAATGGATCAGTTATTAAGTCGTCGCCAAGCTCGGCTAGATCCATTTTTGAAGTACGTGCGCACGAAATAAATCACTTATACGCAGGGTATTGTGCAACACTTAATGAAAATTCTATAATTCTTACGAGTTATATACTCAATAATTTCTATTGAATAATGTAGGAAAAAACCATCTATAATTTTTTTTACAGCTTTATCTTTTTCTACTAAATAAATAAAAATGAGTTATATGCCCTTATCAAAGTAAATCATTCCTTTTATACTTTCATTGTCGTCCAGAGCCGTCAGAAAGAACTTGGATACTGCTATTCACTTGAAAGCATGCTCAAATATGCGACAGCCTTAAAACAAGTGGTTAAATGAGCAATATTCGTCTCGATCATGGATGTAAGGGCGACTATAGTTAACAAATATGCAATGATTCCGTACACACAGTGGTATCTTACTCATATCCTAGCCGGACTCCACATGTTCACCTGTTACCAGATTGCATTATCAGCTATCAACTGAGATGGGTTGCTTTAAAGATAATGAAGTACAATACTTTTCTCGTTCTATTTGCAACTACATTTCACTATATTCCAGAGACAGCACAATATACCTAATAAGATATAGCAAAAATGTAACATGTGTTAATTCGCTATGAAAACGGCCAATTAGATTGTCTAAAACTAAGTATACAACAGTAAAACAGGTTTATATCTGTGGGATGAATACATAATCGACATAAAACAAAGATAACCTTCTCAAGAAGTTATAAGACAAGAGACATTGGTGATTTATTGTATGATCATTGCCTTTTACAGATTCCAAGAAATGATTCTTTGAAAATTTTCTGATAGGAACTTGAAGGAACAACAAATACGACAAAGACAAGTATTGATGGTATGAATGAAATAAAATATGCAGATAGATATAGCCACGCTTGATCAGAAACATTTGTACATCCCGATAACAAAGAAATGATTAGGCGTGGTGCTGAGAGAAAAAGTAGAATTATGGAACTGATGACAAGTTGTTTGTGTTCATTCCATTGCTCACGAAGATATTCTCCGTATTTTTGTCGTTTTTGAGCTTCTAGCCGTCTACGAGCACTTCTGATAATGATGAAGATGGCAGAGAAGAGATTGGCAAGAAATGGACCGAGAAGATGAATAAAGAGAATAGCTGTATTATAATTTTGAATAGAATGAGAATAAGAAGTCAAACACCAGAAACGTCTATCTATTACGATTTCTTCGAATACATTTCTTGTTTCGTCAATTCGTTTCGTCTCGTTTGTTTCATGCATAAATACTTGACGGTATAGCGGTTCATGAACAAGTGTGCCCATGATTACAATTGGTAAGATGAATATGATCCATCGAGCGAAACGTTTACTTTTCTCTTTATCGAAACTGATACCTTTGTAAACATTCGCTGCACGTTCAACTGCTACACATGCATTGAGCCAAGCGTCCCAATAGAAGAAGAGTTTCAAAATAGACTCAATCGACTTACAACCACCTTCCAGAATAGATGAATGAACAGATGTGTCCATGTTAGTAACAACAACGAACCAAACCTTAAGCATAAATATTGTGATCGTCAAAAGAGAAGTAACTGACGATGCAAGAAGATACAATCCACATCCAACGGTTCGTGACTTTTCATTCTGAAAAGTTAAAATTGAACAAAGACTATTGATGATCCCTGTAATAAACATGATTGTTGCAAACGTAGTACTCATTTTGACCAGAAGTGGCTGATCACCTATCGATATGTTTCGATTGACTTCCAATCGTAAAATATCGTCGAGAGTGAGACCAATACTTTTAACTTGAATATTACATGCACCACCAACATAACAGGAAATCGAATTATCAACTAAAAGATTAGACGACAATCAACAATATCAAACACCTACGAAATGTTACCGAAGTGATGAAGCGTAATATTACTTAGACCATACACATCGATTGAGAACGATGTCATCCGCATTGGTCGTGAAGTTGTTACAAGTAATGTATATGTCATATCAGACTCGAGATGGGCTGTATATCTTCCATCACGATCACCGTTAGAACAACCATGTCTACCAATTTCAACTAAATTTTGTCGTGGATTTAACGGATCGAAGTGATTCTTGTAGAGATTTATGTTTATATCAGAACTTTTACCAGTTGAAAAACCATAATATCCATCGATGGGAATGGTTAATCGTAGACTTTCATAGTAATAATATGAACGAATACAATTTTTATCATACATTTGACTTTTTGTGGTTAGTTTCGATGAATAATTAGAATGAAAACCCAAAGAAGAATCTATTCAAACAAAACTCAAGTTTTCATTTGAGATACTATTCAGAAGATCAATTTTGTGAGCTGTGTGTTGCAATACTACTCACGTGTACGTCGAAGGCTAACATTGTTTCTGCCGAGCACTTGGATAGAGAAGTCTACTGTTTTAGATGATGAACACGTTGTTATAACCAATATATATCGAATATTGGCTAAGAGTTTAGTAGTAGTGTGACGCAAATCCGTGCCAATGCAAATATCATGTTGCACACTTAAATTACCCCTTGGAATTACCGCATAGAAATCATGCTCGTAGATAAACATTACTAGTCCTATGTTAATATTTGCAACACTGCCGAAAACAGTATAAAAGTCACTTTTATTCACATTGATTTGTATTGCTTCATAATAGTATTCAGGGATAAAATCACAAGAAAGAGCATAATATTTGTCACGATCTTTTGATAGTGCAGATGTATAGTTTGATTCGATGAATTGTTCAATATCTATATTCAAGTATAAAAAGTATCGTTAACTTACTTCTGTGGATAACATATTCAACTAGTTTAATGTTTAAAATATACTCGAAATGTTTGGCTATCATGAATTAGTACAAAAAAAACTCTTTTTTTGATTTGTTCTCAAAATTGAATCGAAGTGATCTACCGAATTAAGTCAAATGTGAATCAAATTATCAGGTAATGCTGTCTACAAATTGAACATCCTCTCCATAGCGATATATAATACTCACGAATACGTTCAAGTTGTACTATACTTGAACCAAATAGAGTGATCGAGAATGGACCAATTACACTTGAATTGAAAGTCGTTACAACCAAGATATATCTTGTATCGATCAAAAGTTCGAACGTGGCGTTGAAGTGGTTCCTATCGCTATATCCCGTAATCAGATCCAATTGACTGTGAGTAGTTTTGAATCGATCGAAATAGCCTTTGTATAGATATGCAATAGGATTGATCCTACCATCAATGACAACAGTGTGTAAGCCACTCTTAGTGGTAACTACTTCAATAGTTTCGTAGTAATATATTGAGCCGCTGCTAAAAGGACGTGAGTAAATGGTGTGGTTTTCTGTTAAGACCGATGAATACGTGGCTTCAATCGTTGATGAGACATCAACTAAATCAAGAAAAAAGAATTATGAAAAGGTGTGAATATCAACAATAGTGAAAAGCTATCGTAGGATATATATACATGAAAGATAAACAAAAAGATATTTTCTTCCATGATTATTTAATACCATCCTTCAAGTATAACTGGGACATCATTTCAACGGATTCAATGAAAGAATTACCTGATGTTCCACCGATGAGAAACAGTAGAAAAACGATAAATATGTTCGGGATATTATTTATCAACATACTCACTGAGACGACAAAAGAAAACTGAATTCATTCATTGCTTTTGCATAACATTTATCTCTCTTTCTTCTGATGAATTGAGAATGATTGATGCGAATAAACACTCTCTTAAGTCACGATTGACTTCAATGACGTATTTTGTGTTTCTTCTGTATTCACAACAAACTTAGAATGAACATGAAGTCGTGATTTTTGGATTGGAGTACTTTTCAGAAGCATTGGATATGAGCACCATTATTTTGAACAAGCGAGGCGAGTGACGAAAATAAAATATTTAAAGAATGACTCTCTCTATGACACATAACTATTACTATAGCCTAATATTGTCGATGTTTTCAATTATAATACGTCATGATTATTCATATTCTGGTAGCTTACAAAACGAGATGGTGGCTCGATACTAATTCATGCAGACCAAGTAAATCTACTCTTTAGCATAAAGTACGTCTAGTGCGAACTTCGATCTATGACCTATTCAAAGACGACATTATCGATTCATTTTGTATATCAACAAATGATGTGTAATCAAACGTATGTGAAAACTACTGAAAGCAAATTCGGATGCTGCATTATCACAAATTTTTCATCGTTTCGAATAAAACAGGCCGAGAAAAATATGCGCTGAATATGCAAAAGACAGCAGCAACTAAACGCTTACGTCAAGTCCTTATCACAGGACGAGCTTCTAAATATCATGTCATGTGTACTCTTCATGAAGCTTCTGAATACTACCGTACTGGAATTATGAAGCTATCACAAATTGAACAAAAGATCCGTATCTTTGTCTTTCAAGATGTGAGTAAAATCTAAAAAAGAGGCCGAAAATATCTCCACAGTCAAACTAAGTGTAGTCGCTACATCTGGAAAAAGAACAACAAGTTCGTCGATATTTTTCAGCGGTACTTTTTTTTATAGCCGATTCAAATCGTATTTCAAATGAATACCCAGTTCTATTGTATGTTTAGGTAGCTATATCAAGTTCATAAGAGCTATAAATGATCTCCAGGCAAGAAAACTTTCAGGTGCATACTGTAAGACACGTCTAGAGTTAAATTCAAATATCTGTAGCATGTGAACAATGCTATTTAACAAGAAGGATTTAGTTCTCTCTACTTCTCTTTCGTTTCTCTGGAAACGATTCATATAGCAACAATATTCATACAAGACAGCCACAAAACTTAGTTGTTCAATACTCTAAAAGTATTCTACTGGATATTTCTAAACATTGCCTTTTATTCTATTCACATAAAGAAGAATATTCTTTATCACAATGGCTAACAGCGATCGTTCAAATATGCGAAATATGGCTGTATTATGCTCGCGCCGCAGTCGATATATGTATTCTTGTTTCTGTCCGATTTTGAAATTAACTTATCTTGGACGTTCTTTCGAAAATATATGATCTCTGATCGAACACGTCATCAAGTTCTTCATGATCATTGTTTTGCTCTGTGTTGAATTGCTGTATCACACGACATATTCTCAACTTTCATCGTGACCACATGGCAACAAGAAAACAATGTTTCTTCATTCATCACCTATCGGTGATATTGATTTTGATTCATAGCTATCTATACATTTTGCTTTTCAGTGTGTTCTTTCCACTCTGTCAAAATCTCGCTGTTCAGTTTTCACTGAATATTGTTCCTACTTCTTGTTCGGCCACTATATCATTGTACACGACATATGACTCATTTGTACTTTTCCGGTGATTACACCGTTGTGCAAATAAGCAAATCCTCGCATATACTTTCATTCATTTTTGGAATGGTGGTCTAAAAGCAATCTGTCACAGTTCTGTGGATGTGAGAATAACAGTTAGTGCTCGTGAAAATGTCCGTGTGAATAGTGCGCAAGGTCACAATTGTTTAGTCTATACTGATCAAAGTTTCTGCTTTTACGCTTCTGTAGATCAATCGACTGTCTCTTGAATGTGCTACTCTGTTCCTTCTCATTTATGATCAATGTTTCAACAGAAAAACCAGAATTTTTATGGAGAACTTGATTTTGTTCAAAAATTGACATGGTAAATAGCTTCTTGTCAAGTATCTTCACTCATATTAATAATACCATGTGATTATTTTCCATTATAAGTGGTACTAATGATTGTCTTTAAGTCTTCAACTTGTCGTCGTAGAATTTCGATTTCCTTTTTCTGTTCCTTCATCTCTTTCGCTAATCGTTTCCTCTCTAGTTGAGAGATATCTAACGGAGGTAGCGCAGTTGCTTCAGATGCAACTACGACGTACACTTCGCACATGTTGAGAAGATTCATTTGATGCTGTTCGTGATCATCAGTGTATTCATCAAAAGGTATCCGTGTTACAGGCCAAAGTCTTGCGATTTTATTCACTATTTGCCGTGCATCAGTTTCAATGTCAAAGTAAGCTCCAGTTGTATTATTTCTCTTGTGAGAGTCGAATATGACGAATATCTGTAGGGATAAAACAATGAGCGAAATGGCTTCAGGTGGTTTGACGATTAACAATCCAAAGGGACTGTAGTTCATATGATCATTGATTAATCTTCGAAGATCTGTTTCTAGATCGTCAAGGATAATCAGACATACCTCTCGTTGTTCTAGACCTATTGAAAATCGATCGATATCACTTAAGACATCTGTGATGGCTAAATGTCTCATGTCTGGGTCGCTCCCAAACGAACTGATGATTTCGTCGAGTAACGTGACAGTCGGTATTTCCCCTTTGAGCAATCGTAAACAAGCTTCTGCAGCATAAATCACACAGCTTGACACATTGCCTTGTGTATACTGACTTCTCGACGATTGGATTAGCCCTTTTTGGAATTCCCTCAAGGTCATCATGAACGATTCGAATTTGATCATAAATTCATCGACTACGTTCAACATTTCTAATTGATATGATCCATTAGGAGTTCTTTCAACATCTGCTTCTGAGCGCTGAGTCGATTGCTTCGAGTTGTCCATAGCTAATACTTTGACTGCGTACGTATCTTTCGTGCAACTCTTCGTGTCCAATTCTAAAGATATGTGGTTTGATGTCGTTTCATTCGGTTTGATCAATAGCATATCAAAGTGTGCTTGTGATTCAAGTAGATGACTAATTTGAGATATTATTTCAACACGAGCTAATAAAAATTGTTCGCTTCGAGTAGAGAGAAAGTCTTTTCTAATCTGTTTCACTGCCGCAAATGTTTGATTCACAGCTGAATGACCATCACTCGTAATCTCTAAGGCGATGTCTACCAATTTACTGGAAGGTGTTTTACTGCTGTACAATTGTTGTCGCGCCTCGCTGACGAATCGTTCGCAGAAAAATGTATCCCTGGTAGCGTTCTCGTCATACACGGAATAATTGTTGCCTTTAGAAGATCTTCGCAATAATTTTGTTGGTATTATGGCAAGGTAGTTTTTAATTCTGTTGATAATGATGATTTTTGAAGTATCTTCGTACGCTGTTGTTGTCTGATGTTCCTTTATTCTAAATTCAATCATGAAAGTATTCGAATCGTACCGTTCAATGTTCATTATTTGACTAAATTTCGAATAGTACTCTTTCAGAACATCAATACCAGAAAAACGATTGAGAAAAGTAACGATAACTATGCATGATCTAGTCGAAGAGGAAGTACTTTGTGTAGATAGCGGTAATTTTGAATTTTGTCGTCCATTTGCCATAGAAATATTTAGCGATGCGCAGCGTGATTTTTTAAAATTATCTCATCATTGCCGTTTTTAATCATGCTTATGAATTACTCATACCTTCACATTGACTATACTGTTGAATACATGGGACAGAAGAGAAACGAAATTCATTGGTGTAACACAAAACCAATTTCGAATGGCGAGAGAATACGAATTATAGATGACGTACGAGAACGAATGATTTGGATCTTTCCGTTTTATTTTAATGCGCGTACAGGTGTGATATTATATTCAGTAGTCATAAAACAGCATGGTGGGAATCAAAACTGGCGAGGTTATAACTTTTGTATTATGATCGATCGAATTTCTGGCTCAAAATTTATTTTAGTTATAACGTTTAACCGTAGTTATTATTAATTCTTTTCCACAGTTGTCATCGCCTGTTTTTTCGATTGCGTAGATGAGAATATGTATATCTTTCTGTTCACAGTGAGTAAAGATTCTAAAGGAACGTTTTGTAATATAATTAGTTTGTGCTACTTCAGCATTAGTCAACATAACGAAAGCGAATCCTATTGAATGTTAGATACCTAGAGCAATACATTGCATAGAATCTAAAGGTATCCAGTGGATCAACAGAATCCGAACACTCAGGATTCGCGTTTTCTCTCTTGGTATTGGTTCGGCGTTATAACCATTTCAAGTTTTTACCAGTTTTCTTAACTTCTGACTTTTGAAAATTAGTTTTAACTTCGGCTATGTGAAACGAACTCACCAGCTTTGAAGGCGGGTAAAAAGCGAGAACATACGATGAAATTGTCATAGCATTCCGTTTCGACAACCAGCGCTTTTGAAGAACTTTTAAATTTTGCTGTTGTGAATGTACCGAACACTTTGGAACTCCTATTAATATTTTTATCTTTTTGCTTTAGTCTTAACTGTGTAGAAGTGACAAATTACCGACTGCATTATTTCATTGTTTAAAATAAATCCCCAGAAGCAAACTTGACATCTTGGCTCGGATAGCTTCGAAGCAATTATTCCAGAGCCAAATAGATGGATGACAACCAAAAGACAGCGTTTCTTCATTCATTATCTTCCTTTCATGCTGGTGTTGACCTACTGCTACACCTTTTGGTTTTTCATCCTCCGTATTCCACCTTGTCAGAATAGATTTGTTTCATTTCCAATGAACACCCATGTAACTGTCAAACACTGAATAAACGCGTTCCTGTCATCTATAATGTTTCATCATGACAACAATCGCGTGGGAATGCTTTACCAAGCGCTATTCTAATGCTTTTCAACACATTCTATGTCGGAAAAACCGGTCTCTAACTGCGTCTAGATGCATGAAATAGTCCGTGTTTTGTTGTGTTTACAGAAAAAACTTTTTACGTCGGCACTAAGTTGTTCCAATTTCAGTCACATTCATTATTTTATACAAAAAGAATCATTTTTTACTGCTCTCCTTTCTGTCTCGCGAGAAAAAAACGAGCGAACAAGATCCGTCATCGTTTCGGATCAAGAGTATCTCTTGAAAAAGAATCATTATCATCAGCACTACAAGTTAAAGAGGAACACAGCTAGAAGTACATAACGGTAGAGACAACAAAATTAGCTCTCCTATATGGATGCATCTTCCCTTTTCTAGCAATTATCGGAATGCATTACCTGTATAAAAAGGACTGTGAACCATGTAAATATTTCAAACGAATCTATTTAAAGAAGCACTCTTTATATCATGCTTAATCTCTTCTGTATTCTACTTTTTTCTCGCCAATGATCTTTTCATATATTTGCGACTTGCTTTACGGTGAAGTGAGTCGTATTCGTATTTCTTACAGATCATTTCTGAAACCACTAACAATACACCTATCACAATGACAAGCTATCTCAACTTGACTGCACAACAATCGGCTGCATTGCTCGCCATGTACGATATAGATATTCCTGTTTCCGTTCGATTTTGGAATTATCTCATACTGGATGTTCTTTCAATAACATGTGCTCTCGTCATACTCTACCATCTTCTCGCTGATCGAACACTCCGTCAAGCTCCACGCAATCACTTCATCATCGTCTTACTCTGTGTTGGACTTATTTATCAGTTGACAACTATTCCATTCATGCTTCATTTCTATCGGGTTGGATATTCGTGGAAAATCACACCAGCTTTTGCCAACTTTTGGACATTCATCGACAACTCGTCGTTTATATCGGTACTAATAGGCTTTGCTTGGGCCACCGTCGAACGACACATTCTCATCTTTCATAACAGCTGGATGACAACCAAAAGACAGCGTTTCTTCATACATTATCTTCCTTTCATGCTGGTGTTGACTTACTGCTACACCTATTGGTTTTTCATCGTCTTTTTCGCACCGTGCGTAAATTTATTCGTATTGTCTCCTATGAATGGTGTTCCAGGCACTTGCACTTTAACTCTGAAGTTTTGGGGAACATATGACTCCATCTTTAATCAGCTTCTGCCAACGTTCACTATAATCCTTGCCAGTGTTGCTCTTCTCATTCGAGTTTTATGGCAAAAGAGTCGACTGAATCGATCGATTCATTGGCGTCAGCAGCGTAAAATGACGATCCAACTATTATCCATCTCCCTTCTCTACTTCGTTTTCAATTTTCCTCGATCAATCATTCGAGCAATGGTATTAAGCGGTGTGTCAGGTTATATCTTCGTCAAGTTAAACAGTCATTTCATTTATTTTGCCATTCAACTGATCTTTTTCTTTCCATTCATCTGCTGTCTGGCAACATCTGAGCTTAGCAAGAAATTTAGAAGATTTCTTGGTAACAACAGTCGCCACAATACAGTACTGCCACTAAACGAAGTGAAGCTCGGTGGAAACACTCGAAAAGTTTGAGAACAGAAGTTATTCAAAATATCTAGATACTTCATTGATGTTGTAAAAAGACTTTAAAAGCGTATTCTTTTTTCTGGATGAATTAATGTCATTAGGAGAAGTAAAAGAATGTCATGAATGAGGTGCGGTTGGTTGATTCTTTTGGAGTGATTTGATTCGATGTCTTTATGAATTAAAACCATAGATGTCATAATGCCGTTACGACGGGTACCGTCAGTCGAACTTCACAATACGTTCATCCTAATCAACGAAAAATCATGCGTATCGACATCACCGTATCCTATCCATGGGTAATCACTTCAATACGCCAGCAAAAACACAACAAGACGTCGGCTTGAGGAATATGAGTTGATTTTGCATGATGATTTAATTGCTGCAGCCTGCAGGAATGAACTAATTCTATTCTTCAAGCACAAGAGTAATAGCTTTTTTACGTCACGATTGCGTTTATATTCATATTCAAAACGTTTTATGACACGCGGTACTTTTAAATTCAAACTAAATATAGATATATTCATGTTCACGCATTTGGTTGTTATAATATAATGGAGAATATTGCATGATAACGTTAGTAATGATAAGTTAATAGAATAATCGCTCATAAAATATTAGTTCATATATTTGAAATATTCAAAGCATCCGAAGGAAATCATAACATTCTTTCATTATATTTCTATGTACGCAACCATTACATCCTCTCAATCCCTCAGCTTTTCAAATGAATCGAGATGTGATTATAGCGTGATGGATGGCGGAGAGGAATGTAGTACGGTATTGGAGCGAATATGATGGATTTTGATGAATACCCGTCGTACCAATATTATGACATCACTTATTAAAACACGTTCAATTATGTTCACAGTGATTGCACAATATAGTACAGATGAATACTTTATTCAAACGCTATCGTTATTAGAATCAAAGTATTTCATGGCTTTACTTCAGCTGAAGAATTTTTCTGGGATTCTCATTGTTATAGTCCGCTAAATTCCAAGGCGAATATACTTGGCTTATCTGTGCAATACTTCATCAATATACTACGTACCTTGTATTACGCTGTTCAAAAGATAAAAGATAAAATGAATACTATTATGTGTCGTTGAATTCCTTACTCGATCTATCTCTCTTAGCTTTTTCGTCAAATTGTTTTTCAACTGCTGTAATATTTGATTCACACTTTTGCACAAGACATACCTATAGATTTGTATCATTACAACAATTCGATGCTAAGTCGAGCGTCTCCGCTATCTAATTATTCTACCAGACACTCGTCCAATTGCAAGTACATGTACGAGCACAATTTCTTTTCTGTACCATGAGTATCCAATAAATCATAGTAACGAATCGCTTGTGTTCTTGCTAAAATGTTGCAGCTGCCATTTGAAAAGAGAAGCCAACATAAGGGTAAAGATTGACTTATCTATAACAATTACAAGTTTTTTTTTTTATAGCATAGTGTCTTCTTCTACCATAATTGATTAATATTATATCACTACTCCACGAATTCAAATTGACAACGTAATGTTAGACAACTACAAAGAAAGACCAATATCAGTGTCTTACTTTTGCTTGAGACAAACGACTATCCTTCGCTCACGATGGTAAAAATTGCTCCGATATGCTGATATTAGGAATGATATTACCGTTCGAATTGTACTGACAGGGAACATGAAGCAAGAATAGGAATTTGATAGCTCATATCGATCTTTTCTCAATCTGTATCATCAAGATTCTTTATTCTCAAAAATATGCCGGAATTCAGAAAATCAATGATTACTAATTCTTTAGTATACTTCTTCCCAAAATCTCTCTTCGCTTGTTATGAAGAAAGTTGTGTTTTGATTTGATCCAAAAACATAAAATATGGTTTCGTGTCCGGGCGATCAGATGATCCTTCATTAACCCTAATACAATGATTTACTTCAAGTAGAAATTCAATATAATCCTCAATATATGGATAGTAATCTGTTTGTACACGTATTTCTAGCTGATTGGTTTCTCCTTTTAATTGATCAGCATCTTTGATCCAATCGAATAAACTTGGATGCGTGGTTCTTTCAAATGGATTCAATTCAATCACAATACAATCGTACCGATTGGTTGTTTTATTCTCAATCAGTCCAATATCGATGACATAGTTCGAATATCGATCGGAATATGGATCAAAAAGTGGCTGAATCCTAGTTCTCCAATAATTTTCAATTGTCGCTTTTATACATTTGACAGTGTTCTCATCTTGTAAATGATACTGTTTACAAAGATAATTATATTGCGAAATTGCCGTCAGATTTGATTGATGAA